ATGCACCTAAAATTCATACAAAGAGCTATAGCTCCTGGTAACAAATCACACGGTGAAGAAAACGACTGCATGCAGATGGGATTCATTACAGAACGCCATCAAGAGACGATGAACAAACGACATCACGAATGTCACCTCCAGTTCGTCCAGTAGTAGGTGGAGAGCTCACGGGAAGATGGATAAGAGATAACAGGTGTAAATGTCAGAAACCCTCTTCAATTTGTTCAATAAATAAATTTAGTTCAAACTGTGAGATATGTTTATACATAAAAGTGCCATGTACTTTATATTTCATGTTATCATTCTGTCATTATATACTTTTCAGATATGAAAGACAAAATAGCTATAAAACGGTGAGTAGTGGCCAGTTTAGCTATAATATGTGGGGGTGGATCTTCTTGCATAATGGTGAACTCGCCGAAACAGAGGGGAGATTCAATTTAGATAAATATATCCATCAGCACTCTGCTTGCACTGGCCTTGCCAGAATTAATCATATCCGTGCAGGTTAACTCTATGCACACCGAGGGCTCTATGACAATGATCACATGGAGGTCCTTCCACGGCCAAGCAAGGTATGTGGCTCAAACCCGATAAAAGATGTTTAAGCGAAGATTGTCGATATTTGGGAAACGGCTAGTGAAAGAACATGCCATCAACAAATGGCTCATGCTAAGAGGGAATGGAAAGTATTGGAATGCATGAAGGGAAACTGGGAACTCCATCGCCTCTGTCCCGAAGGTTAGAAAAGGTTTATATATGTATAGATTGTTTTTATTTCAAGTGTGACTGTCCCAGGACCATTTTTCTTTTCTTTTTTCACCTCCACCAAGGAGGTTATGCTTGTGGTAGTGTTTGTTTGTTTGTTCATTGGTTAACTTGATAACTCAAAAAGTTAGGAATAGATTATTTATGAAACTTGCACAAGAGGTGTGGTTTAACTTAGATGCCATTATATATATATATATATATATATATATATATATATATATATATATATTGTTATGTATATATGTGTGTGTGTTTGTGTGATAATAATATATCAATATTTAATTATAATATATATATATATATATATTATATAAATTATATTATATTATATTATATAATATATTATATATATATATTTATATATATATTATATATAAATGTATATATATATATATTATATTATAATATATATATATATACATATATATATATATAAACATATATATATACATATACATATTTTGATATATATAAGTATATATATATATATAAAAGCATATATATATATATATATATATATATATATAATATATACATATATAAGAATATATATATAATATATAAATATATATATAAACATATATATATACATATATATATATATATATAAGCATACATATATATATATATATATATATATAAGCATATATATATATATGTGGGTGCTTCATGTGCAGGGTGGTGAGAAACGATGGTGTGGTAGCCTAGATAGTGTTAAGTGCTTGCATGCCTTCTGGCTTGCAGCTGCCACCACTAGCTAGCCTTGTGCGAAAAAGGGAGCAGCGCTGCATAAGTCTCCCCTGCCAGTGCATAGCCTCTCCATCATTGAGACTTCTGGAGTGCCTCCACGTGGTCACCTATGGAAACTGGTACCTTGCAGTCCCAGGCTGAACTGTAGGGGATCTCGGACCAGCAGGAGGCCCCAGAGGTACAGGGTCATGGGGTCATGGCCCATCGGTGTGTGGACATGCCCTGGCCTTGTACTCCTGCCCCTAAGCCCCCTGGGGTTAATGGAAGGCTTGGGGGAGGTGGGCCTTGCCAGTCCTCCTCCCCCCAGAGATAACCCACCGGCAGTGTCACGAATTGGTAATGCTGGGCGGAGGTGAAATGTCCCTCCTACCCAGCGAGAGGGGCAGGCTGTGGGCCCCATTGGGAGGGTGGCTGCTGGTGGGCAGGATGGGAACGGGAGTTCCTCATCCCGCCTGCGTTCTGGCAGCTGCCAGCCCGATATGAAGCTTGTGGGGCAAAGCCCTAGGGAACCCCACAGGTGGATGAGGGATCCTGCAGCCTGCCGCCTTTTATGTGATGCAGTGTCAGCGGGGGTGGCAGAGGTGGCCTCCACTCTGAGTGCCTGCCCGAGGGTTAACCTTAGGCGAGGCCAGGGTGGGGGCTTGGAACGTCTGCTCTTTGCGTCAGGATGATCGGTTGCCCCTACTATCGAGGGAACTGGGGAGGCTGAGTTGGGGTGGCTGCTCTCTCAAAGGTGAGAAAACTTGGCAGCGGCATGATCAGTGTAGGTGGCTACACCTATTACTGGTCAGGCCGCAGCGATGGTCACCATCTTCAGGGAGTAGCCATAGCTATCTCCAGTAGGCTCCAGCCCTCGGTGGTGGAGGTCACTCCAGTTGATGAGCGTATAATGGTAATGAAAATGAAGCTGTCATTTGACTTCATATCTCTTATTGCTGTGTACGCTCCTACCGATGTTTGTAAACTCGACGTGAAAGAGATGTTCTACACCAAACACATCTGTGGCAGACAGTTGTCCCCAGCGAGATATTTGTATTGTTCTGGGTGATTTCAATGCGGTACCTGGCTGCGATCGAGCTGGCTATGATAAGCCTGTCGGTCCTCATGGTTCGGAAGTTGATACCGGCAGCGAGAATTCCCTCCTTTTCCGGGATTTTACAAGATCCCAGAAATTGAGGATTTTCTGGCTCCTGGTTCCAGCGCCCAGACCCACATCGTTGGACAAGGTACAGCGATGCGGGTAATGCAGCCAAAGAGATCGACCACATTCTCGTTAGTACTCGTTGGAGGATCCTCCAGAACTGCAGGGTGTATAGGAGTGCCGAGTACTGTGGTACTGACCATAGATTGGTTGTGACTACCCTCCAAGTTCACTTCAAAACTCCCCAGTGGCCCAATATCCACCCTATGGTGTTTCATTTGGACAGGCTGAAGGAGAGGGAGTGTGCTTGGGGGTTTGCTGAGACAATCTCTGATCGCTTCACAGTGCTTGACAATCTGACGGACCCTGTACTTCTGTGGGATACCTTCAAGTGTCAGACGCTTGATGCAGCCCAAGAATCGATTGGAGAACGCCCGAGAGCAAGACAGAATTTAATCTCTCAGAAGGCACTGGAAGCCACAGATGCTTGCCGTGCGGCTCGTCTGGCAGGGGAACGGGATTTGCACCATTCTCAGGTTCATAGAACTCGGTCTCTGTTAAGAAGGCCGGGTCGGCCTTTTGTAAGGAGGGGGCAATGCTATCCTGTGGTCGTTCGGGCTTAAAAAAAAAAAAAAAAAAAAAAAAAATATATATATATATATATATATTATATATATATTATATATATATATTTGATTTATATATAAAAACGTATATATACATATATATATACTTTTTTGCTAGAAGGGATTCAAAATATGCATACAATACAAAATCAATGATTCTAAGTAAAATGTTTAACTTCACATCGACCAGCCATCCACGTATTCATTGTAGCCCTACTACGGCTTTACGTTAATGTTCTAAAATGATTATAACGTAGTATATTTCCTGTTTAATGAATGTTTGGATGTGACACAGTTCAGCTGTAAACGGTCGTACATTGACAAACTGAAGGAAATACAGATTGAAGAGATTGCAAATAAAAGTAGAG